TTAGCTTACATGATCCCCTTGCTGTTTCACAAAGTAGATAACATCATGACTGTAGTGTTGTATGTGAGAGAAAAATTATACAGTGAGGTCAAAGACCAAGGGACAAATCTTGCTTTTTTGTTTTTGTTTTTCGAGACAGGGTCTAACTCTGTCTCACTCACTATTTAATCCAGGCTGGCCTTGAACTCATGACAATCATCCTGCCTCACCCTCCTAAGTGCTAGAATTACAGGCATGCATCGCCATGCCCAGCAAATCTTGATCTTTTTATAGCAACCCATTCTTGCTAGGCGTGGTGGTACATAGCTGTAACCCCAGGACTTGGGAGGTGGAGGCAGGAGGATCACCTCAAATTGGAGGCCAGTTTGGGCTGCATAGTGAGTTCAAAGCCAGCTTGGAACATCTAGTGAAACTCTGTCTCAAAAAATGAAATAAATTCTCAAAGGAACTGATGGAATCCCTAGGGAAATATGCTAAGCCCTATGGCACCCTCAATAACCTAATCACTTTCTCCTAGGATCACCTCCTAAAGGCTCCAACACCTCAACACTACCACACAGAGGACCAAGTTTCTAGCACAAGAATCATAGGGAGATGTGCTGGTTAATCTTGGCCGTCAATTTGCCTGGATTAAGAGACTCCTAGACAGGATTATAGAATGAATTGTGAGATAAATGGGTTACCTCATTGATGAATCCATAGCCGAATGGATTATTGGGAAGTGGGAGCCTAATTGGAGGAAGTGGGTCCAGGTGTATGACCTTGAGTGCTATAGCTGATCCCTGGCCCCTTCTGCTCAGTCCCTTCCACTCTTCTTTAAATTGTAGGTATCAAATATTTTGTCCCAGCCACTTAAAGCTGACAGGGGGGCAGCAACAGGCAAACCATAGCAAGTACGAATGAAATCAAACAATATTTGACTGGCTTCTTTTGTGTAATGTTTTCAAGATTCAGTCATGTTGGGTGTGAATCAGTACTTTATTTTTTATGGTTGAATAAACTCTATTGCATGGATATACTACATTTTTTTATCCACTCGTCATCTAATGGACATTTGGATTGTGTTTGTTTGTTTGTTTGCTTTTCTTTTTTGGGGGGGGGTACTAGGGATCGAACTCAGGACCTTGCACTTGTGAGGCAAGCAGCAGCACCACCCCAGCCCTTGTTTGTCTGCTTTTGAGAGAGGGTCTCTCCGTGTAGTTAAAGCTAGTTTTGAACTCACTATGTAGCCTAGGCTGACTTTGAACTTTCTGTGATCCCTCTGACTCAGCCTCCCAAGTGCTGAAATTGCTGGTGTGCACCATTGTGCCCGGTGCACATTCAGGGTTTTGTCGATTATGAATAATGCTATGAACATTTGTGTACAGTTTTCTATGTGGATATGTTTTCATTTCATTATGTTTTCCTATTTCTAGGAAAGAAATAGGCCATAAAATAACTCTATGGTTGTGTTTTGATCTTTTGAAACAGCTATTCAGTTCAAGCTGGCCTTGAACACACTATCTTGCCCAGGCTGGCCTCGAAATTGCAGAACCTTTCTGCCTCAGCCTCTCAAATGCTGGGACTACAGGTGTGCAACACCACACCTGACAATGGTTGACTATTTGAAGAACTGCTAACACTGTTTTTCAAAGGATATCTACCATTTTATACAAGCATTATATGAAGATTCCAATTTTTCTACATTCTTGACGATGAATATTTTAGAGAAATAACAAGAACAACTGCAGACCCTTATCTAACTTGGGTAGCTATTGCATAGTTGCAAGAGGAGTACAAGGATGGAAGAAGATCCCTCCTTTACTCTAAACCCCTAGGATCAGCCAGAGAAAATACAGTTAATTCTATGCTCTCATTGGCCCCCAAGACAGGTAAGATGCCCCTGACATGTGCCCAAGAATATCCATAGTATTTACCATTCTTCCCCTAGACTAAGCATCAGGCAAGCAGGAATTTCTATTGCTAGGGCCTTATCAGTGGCAGCTGAATTATATGTTGCCATTAGGGGCTCGGTAGTTGTTGACCAATTGACTGAACAAGTTGCTAAATATTTCTCTAGTGGTGGTTCCTGTTCAGGGAGAAGAGGAAAAGCCCAACCTCAAGAGCAAAAGGTATTGAGAAGCAAGAAGGAAAGGGTAGGTGAAAGAGAAAGGGAAAGGCAGACAAGAAGTTTGGAGAACTGATGTCACTTGGGGTCAGACTTAGGTCAAATTCAGAACAAATATGTCTTCATTCTTTGCCTTTTGTTTTTCTAGAAATGTTTCCCTTTTAAAATTTTATTTTATGTATTTATTTTTTGGATGTGTGTGTGTGTGTGTGTGTGTGTGTGTGTGTGTGTGTGTGTGTGTGTGTGTGTGTGAAAAAAATGTGTGTGTGTGTGTGTGTGTGTGTGTGTGTGTGTGTGTGTTACAGGGGATCGAATTTAGGACCTTGAGTTTGTGAGGTCAGCACACCACCACTGAACTAAATCTCCAGCCCCTATTTTTTGGATTTTTGAAACAAAGTCTCACTACATACTTTAGGTTGGTCTTGAACTCACTATGTAGTCCAAGCTGGCCTCAAACTCACAGTTATCTTCCTCCCTAGTGCTCGGTTTACAGGCATGTACTACCATGCCCAGCTTCCCTTTTCAAAAAATTATTATTCCTGCCAGGGATCTGGCTCAGTGGTGTCACCGCCTTCCTCACAAGCACAAGGGCCTGAGTTCGATCCCTCGTACCAAAAAAAAAAAAAGAAAAAATTATTATTCCTGGGCTAGGGATTTAGCTCAGTGGTGTTGCCACCTCACAAGTGCAACGTCCTGAGTTCGATCTTCAGTACCAAAAGAAAAATAATTATTCCTAACAATTTGGTCTTTGAGGGCATAAGAAACAAAAAAAATTAGATATTACAGAAAAAAGAACACAAATCAACCCACTACCATAAATTCACAATTTAAGAGAACAGAGGTAAAGAAGGTTGACTATAAAGGATCTTTTAACTAGGGAAAGAAGAAAACATAATCTACGTTTCCCTCCATAGGACACTAGAGGGCCTTTATTTAAAACAGAAGACCAAAAATAAATAAATACATACATACATACATGCATACATACATACATACAGGGCCGGGGATTTAGCTCAGTGGTTCGGTGGCCTGCCTTGCAAGTGCAAGGACCCGAGTTCAATCCCTAGTACAAAAAAAAAAAAAAAAACAAAGAAAAAAAAAACAAAAAAACAAAATTTTCAAAATAAACGGA